GCTGGGCTGAGCTCACCTCCTTGTCAGGGATTGCAGGTGCCACTGCACGCTGACTGCTGTTGTCAGGTTCTGGCTGTTCCTCAGGTGTGGCAGGCACCACTTGCTCAGAAGACCCTGCTGCCTCTCCAAAGCTGAGCTTCCTCACAATACTGCTGGGTGGACTTGGGTTTGAGGAAGGAAAGCTGAGCTGCCTTTTTGTTGGTGGTGTGGCTGACTCAAAGCTCTGCTTCTTTTCCAGTGGTTGCACCACCATCTCAGCAGGGTCATCTGAGTGCATAATATCCAAAATGGCTTGCCTCACTTCTGAGAAGTCTTTGATGTGCTCAGGCTTCTGGATCTCTTCCTCAGCAAAGATAGCTTTCCTGCCAGTGGCCTTGGCCCACAGAGGAATCTGATCTGAGAAGCCTATGACAAGGTGAGGACGCGCTGAGACAAAGTCCTCAGGAGATGCCACTCTGTCTGAGGCCTTCAAGGTCTCAGCTGCGGCACAGGTGGCCAACCACAAGGTCTTGTCAAACTCCTGCCAAGTCAGGAGGCACCTGGTCTTGCTCTCAGTCTCAGAAATGTTGGTCACTAATTCAGCTGAGACATACTTGGCACCCAGCCAGTCAATGAGCTTTCTGACGAAAGACTTCTTGTAGCCAGGCTTCTCCAGAAGCTTGCTTTTCCTCTGCAACCTTTCTGAGGCCTCATGCAAAAGCTCGCCCTTTTGCAAGGGAGTGAGAGCCTTGCTATGCTCAGCCTCTTCTTTGAGCTTCTCAGCTGACAGCTGGAGCCTAGCCAGATACTCAGCTGCCAGATCAGCCTTCGCGATGCTGTGCCCACAAGCCCTTTCAACTGAGAGCCATTGCCTCATCCCAGCAATGATGTCAGAGAAGGGAACCTTCCTACCTGCTCCAAAGGCCCTCTTTCTGCTAGTCTTCTCCTGCTTTCTGAGTCCTTTCAGCTTTGGTTGCTGCTTGCTGAGCTGAAACCAATGCTCTTTCTTGCTGAGCATGCTCATGAGCTGCTGCTTAGTCAGTCCATACCTTCTCACCATTGCTTTCCAGAAGTCTTTCTTATCAACAAACTCCTTCTGAGCTAACTCCATCTCACAGCAGTACTTGTACTTTGTTGCTGCTGTGACCTCAAGACGCTCAGTCTGGGTGCCTGGCCTCTTCCTGCCTCTTGCCACATCTTCCTCAGGTTTTCTAGGCCTCCCAGTCTTTCTCTTGTTGCTCTTTAGTTTGTTGAGCCTAGCAACTTCTTCCAATGCCTCATTGGTCTCAGCCTTCTCAGCTTCCAGCTCAGCAATTCTTCTAAGGTGCTCTTCTCTCTCTCTCAGAGCATCTTCTGCAAATCTGCTGAGCCTTTGCCTCTTAGTGATGTTTTTGGTGAAGCTGGGTGGCGTTGGCTGAGATAGCTGCTGTTCAGGTGTGCTGCCAAAAAACTTAGACAAACTGGACTGCACCTTTTCTGAGCTTGGTGGTGACCTTTGGGCGCTGGGCTCAGGGCTTCCCTGTGGAGCAGGACTATCCTCAGCACCACCTCCTTGAACACGCAGTTGCCTCACTCTAGGCACCTGCATGTGGGCAATGATCCTCAATAATAAATTTGTTTTTGGGACCTCTATTG